CGGTTTACGAGTTTTCGGATTACGAGCTGTCTCCAGGAACGGATTAAACTCTTAAACCGAGGTACAGTACCCCTGTATACATATTTGAGTCTGGCCACAAGCTCTCGGGAAACACTCGGCGCACCTAGAGGTAGGCTAGGGAGCACACACCGGGGACGGGAAAGTGTTAATAAAGTTTTTGACTGGGCAGCAGACAATAACATGATGTTTAACAGTGATACATTCCAGGTACTCAGGTACGTAAAAATGAGGACCTTAAACATAATACAGGGTACAAAACACAATGAAATCTGCCCATAATAGGAAAACAGCATATAAAGGATTTGGAAATAATGTTGTCTGATGACGTAACATTTAGGGAGCATAACCAAGAAAATATTGCGTCAGCCAGAAAAATGATAGAAAGGATTACGAGAACTTTCAAATCCAGGGATCCCATCACAATGGTTGTACTGCACTTTACAAATCACTTGTGCTGTCCCGGCTTGAGTACTGCTCAGTACTCACTTTCCCCTTCAGAGCAGAAGAGATTGCTGAAATAGAGGGAATACAGAGAACATATATGGCACGCATAGACACAATAAAACACCTAAATTATTGGGATCGTCTCAAAGCTCTCCAAATGTACTCACTAGAAAGGAAATGAGAGAGATATCAAATAATATATAAAGTGGCAACTCGGCTTACGAATGCCCCTATTTACAAACTTTTCAGGTTACGAGCCCAACTTCTTCGTAAAATCCACATCAGGTTATGAACTTTGCCTTGGGAAACGAAGTTTGTTGATACGCGTATGGGCGACCTAGCGCATGGTGGTACGGCGACAGTGCTTCAGTTTATCAGTGCCTCCCGCCTAATGACAATCGCGCCTGAATTCTTTGTAAAGAATTTCAGTGTTTTTCAGAGTTTTGGGTAGTTGAACATAAAAGTTATTATTATATATCTCATCTCATCTCATGGCGAGATGGGTCTTGGGACCCATCTCGCCATGAGTCCCAAGAAAGCCGGTGATAAGGTTCAATCTTTAAATTGTGGCCTGAATGTATTTCAGAACTAGACCTTGAAGGGTTTGAGCCTGAACCTGAAATGCCTATTGTTGAGGAAATTGTTACTCTATGCCAGAAATTGGGCTTGGAGATGGTGCTGATGTGGAAGAGTTGGTGGAGGAACACAGCAAAAAACTGACCACCAAAGAACTCCTAGCCCTTCACAAGGAACAGCAAGAGGCAGCTGAGGATATTTCTTCATGGGAGGAGGATGAGGAGGCAGTACAGAATGTCCCTTCCTCAACAATTAGGAAGTGGTGTAGACTGTGGGAAGAAATGCAAACTTTTGTTGAAACGACTCGCCCAGAGCAAGCTGTAGTAGGCCGTGGCATTAACCTTTTTAATGACACTGTGATGCCTCACTACAGACAAGTGTTATAATGAAGGGAAAACAATCTTCTATGGATAGATTTTTAATCGAGAAAATCAAGCAGACAGCCAGAAGCAGGAACTAGTGGTATACAGGTAAAACATGCCAGAGAGAGTACCCCAGAGAAGTCATCACTGCCTGATGTTATAATGGAAGGGGACTCCCTAGGTATAAAATTAAAAAAAATAGGTATAAAATTTACTTTGAAGTTAATTTTTGGGGGAGTGTGGAACAGATTAATTCAATTTACATTATTTCTTATGGGAAAATTCACTTCGGTTTACGAATTTTCGGCTTACGAACCATCTCTGGAAACGGATTAAATTCGTAAGTTCAGGTACCACTGTACGTGGAAAATACTGGAGGGCCAGATCCCAAATCTGCACAGTAAAATAAAAATGTACTGGAGTGAACGACATGGAAGAAAATGCAGAATAGAACCAGTGAAGAGCAGGGGTGCCATAGGCACAATCAGAGAATACTGTATAAACATCAGAGGTCCACGGTTGTTCAACATCCTCCCAGCAAGCATAAGAAATATTGCCAGAACAACTGTGGACATCTTCAAGAAAGACTATAGTTTTCTTCACGGAGTGCCGGACCAACTCGGCTGTGGTGAGTATGTGGGCCTGCAGGCCGCTCCAAGCAACAGCCTGGTGGACCAAACTCTCACAAGTCAAGCCTGGCCTCAGGCTGGGCTTGGGGAGTAGAAGAACTCCCAGAACTCCATCAAGGAGGAGCCCTGGCACAACTCTTCTGGGAAGACCCCCACGAGCCCCTCCTGGAGGACTAACAAGTCCGACATAGGTCGGCAACTAGCTGAAGCCGCCTGCAGATAGTGCACAACCGCGCTCTGCAAACAGCAGTGGACAAAAAGGCGAAGACAACCTAAGAGCCAGGGCCCAAGCGGATTTCAAATAAGCAAGCAAGCACCGCCTCCCAATACGAGATGAGAATAAAAAATTGCAAAACCGCATCCCACAGGAGCGGCACAAACAGCTTCAACAATGCAGACGACGCACGCACCTCCGAAGGGCAATAAACCAGACCCAGAGACGGCCCCAAGCTCCTCCACATCCAACTTAAACCAATCCGAAGACAGCTCGTGAAGGGAGAAGAAACGCAGTGTATGCAAATCGTGTATGCAAATCCTCCGCGACCAAGGCAGCCGATAGGAAAGGAACCTGCACATGACGTAACATCACACCAACATCCAGCGGAAGGGCAGGGGTGAACAAATATGCATCGAGATGCTCAAATTCGTCCCCCAAGAAAACCTGCAATATCGTCTGAGCCTCCATCCACTCAAGCGCGTGGGACCGACGGAATGTGTGCCAAGCCTCCAACGAGAAGAGAGAGCAGTCTGCTAACCAGGATGACTCCGGAACTTCATAATGAACTCAGTACGGACACAAAAATTCATACACGAATGAACGTGGACCCATCACGAAAGCATAATCTGGGTCGCGCATGATGTAAGCCGCAAGGGCTTCCCGCACCACATGTGACGGGACATGGGAAGCCGAAAACCTCCGGAAGGACGGGACTGAGGAACCTACGAGATCACAGAACCGAACTGGGAGGGGCAAACGCCAAATCCAATTCATACAAGGAGGGGGCGAAAGACAACCCCCCTCCCCTCCAAGCCCCACTCCAAGAGACCCAGGTGGGGTCCAACAGGGCCCAAGGCCCCCAAGTCAACCCCTCTCCCGCCCTGGGAACTTCACCCCAAGGACCCGGGGTCAAGCATTCTTCCAAACCCCCCGACTCTAAAGAAAAGGCAGGAGCAGCCGAAAAAGCAGGAACGAAGGGGGCCAACTGGTCAGACCCAGAAGCTCCGGCTGGAGGACTAGGTTCAAATGCCTCCACCGCCACTCCGCAAGGGGACTCTACTCCGAGACCGCTCTAGTCTCAACACCAACTAAACCCTGCCCCAACTCCAAAACCCCTCAGATGTTTCAGAGCCGGCAGTAAGGGGGGGTGGGGGACCGAATGAACCAACGAAGGGGAAAGACAAGGATTGGCGTGCGGAACCAAAGTCGAAGCAACTCCCACCCCCAAATTCTGGTCCCTATAACCAAAACGGAGCAGTCTCGGGGCATCCGGAGAAGCAGCAAACCTCTCGCAATGCAGCAACCTAAACCGAGCATGCAACACCTCTGCTGCCTGTACCCTCATATCATGTTCAGTAGCTTGGGTGAACTGGAGCACGTACAAAAAGCAAACGTCACATGACTCCGGGTCAAAAGAATCAGCGATCTGACAGGCAGCATGGCGGAGGAACAACTGGTGATTGTCATCCTGAGACATGGGGACAGAGCAACCATTTACCTTGCACAAAGTGAGAAGGGACTCAAGGGTCGCATCCATCGGACCACGGAACCCCTTGTGGGGTTTCCCAGGGGCCCTTAGCCTTGGTATCATGCCAAGGGAAGCCCAGGCAGGGTACTACGAACCGGCACACAAAACTACTGAACAAACTTCTAAAAGCTGAACCCCCGGGATGTGTCCACTCACAAGGGCCAAGCAGTGGGTACCAGCCAGAAAACAGATGCCTAGAGAAAGATGCCCAATTGTAGAAAGGGGGCAACCAACCAAAGGCAACAACTCCCCCCCCCCCCCTACCAAGCAGGAAAACAAAAAATTAAAACCCTCGCAAGAGAACAACGTACCCAGGCGGAACAGAGCCGGCCGCTACAATAGGTGATAACTAGCTGTGCAGTACCCCGCGCCCCTACCAGTGATGAAAACTACCTCCTACCCAAAGGCAAACAAGGGCAACAAAAACTCCAGCTGACTCCCAAGGACAGTCAAGTACCAAGCAGTAAAAGAAACAGTGGAGGTAGGTCCCAAAGAGACTTGTATAAGGTGGCCCCAAGGGCAGTACTTACATGGCACCTAGGGAAGGAAACCCTAGGCGCATGTAGCCCGAGTACCGAAGAATATTACTCCAGGCTCACACACCACCTGTAGACAGATCATGCCACAATGCACAGTAATTGAAAGCAAAACTGGAGCCAGAGGCACCTGACCAGCCAGTATCACATCAGCCAAGAACTGGCAGTTGGATAGCCAGCAGAAGGATCTGAAGGATCTGGGGCTTCCCCTTCCCCCTCCCAAGGAGGGGAGGGTTGCGCAGACAGCAGCAGGCAACGTGATGACGTCATGCTCGTTTGCTAATTTTCGTTGGGGAGTTCTGTCCACTTGTTCGACTTTCAGTAGCAATATTTTCACCAGAATAGGGGTTTGTTTTGAGGCGCCTATCTTTCTGGGTGCCAGACCTGGTCGATGGCAGACATAGAATGCTCCCAATCACATGGGGGGTTTCTATGTGTCATTGCTCCTTCTGCCCTTCTGAGGGGGGGAGGGGCCAGATTCTGTCTCATGATGGTCACCGGTAGACAAGAACTCCGTGCACTCTGATGCCAAAAAAGCTAATAGTTACATATCAGCCTGGATAGCTCCAGGAACCCAACAGGGCTCCCCCCACCCAGAAAATTGAATTTTCTCCTGTTGGCTATAACAGGAGGCACAGCCCAGGGGATCAAATTTGTCTAATATTTTGGAATAATTACCTTAGTCAAAATTGTTTCACATTTATTAAAATATGTAGTACATCAATATTGCATATATAACATTCACAGCCCTAATTCAATATTATTGCACTTCAAAGTGATATACCAAACTAATATAATCTTAGTTCCTGACAACTACGAATGTAAATTAAAGCAGTAAAGAAAATCATCTCTACTTCCAACATATAATTTATTCCTGAAAAATATAGGAGATGCAAAAAGCTCGCCATTTAATATAGTTTCCAAAACAACCTCAATGACTGCATTTGGGGATATAACACTAGTATTAGGGTTTTCAGTGTCTACTTCAATTTGGAATACTACATGAACTATAAACAATCTCCCAGATGTTTCACATATTACTGCTCGGAATGTCTTGTGATCGCACAAAGAAAATAAAAATGGGGTTGCATAAATGGGAGACGACCCTTTGTATTGTGCTATTTTATCACCATAACTGTTAAGGAAATATACACTATGGTCGTGGCAGCCAATGCCGATTACTTCCGCACCATTTTCTAACGTCAACACAAATGGGGAGGAAAACACATTGCCTTCTGTCTTAAATATCCAAAGCCTAGAGCCCAAAAGAGAGTAACTAAATATCTCGCCACAAACATTTGCAAAAATTACACCTCTTGAGTATGAAGCAAGTGAACTAAAGACAGGTTTCTTAGCAGATATACTCCACTTAATATTACCAGTGTTCTTATCCACCCCACAAACTACACCGTCAAGTGTTGCAGCCAACACATAGTTACAAGTAACACAAGGCGAAGAGAATACACTGCCATGTGAAAGCTTTGTACTCCATTTTAATTCACCATCTGCTGTTAAACAGTATAATTTTTTGTCATGAGAACCAAATATCACCAAGTTCAATTCATCATCAATGACTGGAGAGCTTTTCACCTCCCCTCCTGTTTTATACTTCCACAGGATTTGTCCATTTTCAATACAAATACAATATAAATAACTATCATAGCAACCAACATACACGTGTCTGCCGTCTCTTGAAACAATGGGTGAAGACTCCACTCTATCTCCCAGCAGTAGGCACCACCTTGCCATTCCAGTCATGGCATTGATGCATGCAAATTTATGAGAATGCGAGCCAACAAAAACAAAAATGTTCCCATTGTTGTATTCAGTAACCACGGGAGATGAGTCGATGCATTTGCTAAGATTATACTTCCACAGTAATTCTATTTTATATGGTACAGCATAATAATTTGGTAACAACATTCCTCTACTATGCACACCTCGTCTTGATAAAATAGTTAGTGTTGGATCAGAGAGTAAAGACTCGTGTTCATTTTTTGAATTATTAGATTTCTCAGACTTCCCTTTGTAATGGGACTTGGAAAAACTATTTTTTGGCTTGGAATAGTCTTCATAATTTATTGTTGCTGGTTTAATGTACATGGACTGACTACTGTAGGCTTGTTTATGTTCACTTTTGAGCTTTTTTGGATTTTGTGTATACAAGCTCTCAACATTTTTTAAATTCTCTATAGAATGTTGATATTTTTTTGTTACCTGTAAGGTTTTTGAAAAGGTTTCATTAAGCAACACATCAAGAAGCTTTGGTACCTCACAGCCTAAAAAGTCTTTCAATTCTTCTGTAAAGTATACAGCATTAAGTGAGGTTCCACCAGACTTGATAAAATTATCATTTGGACCCACATTATAGCATCCAAGAATTTTCTTCCATAAATCTTCAAAATAACTTTCTAATGAAGTGTTATAATTACTGCAGTTTAATGCAGAGGAATGGTATTCAGTAGACAGCAACTGAAGTGTGTCAACTTTTCCATGTTTATTAAAGGGCACATTCTTAACTATAATTATATTATCTGGTAATTTCCAGTACGATATTTTTCTCTTCAGATCCTGCCAGACATCCTCAGCAACTAGAGTTTTTCTATCTGAGTACACAAAAGTTGTAATTTTATTTCCACTAAGTAATTCTACATGGCAATTATCCACATAATCCAAGCTTCTACACTGTTTACAAATTTCAGCAAGACTAATTTTTTGTCCATTACGCTTTACTTGTCTGTCTAATCTTCCAATACAATAAATATGACCTTTACTCAGTATTCCTCTGTCACCTGTTTTCCGGAAAACAGCTTGGATATACGTATTGTTTATATCTCTGCTTTCTTGCTTAAGAACTTCAGTACCATCATCCACCCAGCACTCTCTCTCGTGCCCTCCAATAAATATTTCTCCCTCTTCACCCTCTTTAACTTCTCCTCCACTCTTGTTGAGCAGCTTGACTGTAGTGAAGCTTAGCGAGTCACCTATTGGAACCATGTCTGAAAATGAATATTCTAGCATGTTGAATTCCCCAGCCACATAATTTGTTTTTGTATCATTACCTGCTACTATTATTTGTTGACCTTGCTCTGTACTGGTCACTGATTCTGATCTGTTTAATACAATTTCTGCTACAGTAGCCCAACAGGACACCTCAGTTATGCCATAAAGATTAAAAATTCTTATTCTGCACTTCTCATTAACTATCTGCTTTAAAAATGACAATTTCGGGAATATCTCACCTCCTAAAGCCAAAACCTTAAGAGGAGAATATTTTGCAAAGAGTGAGTTTCTTAATCTATCTTTTCCAAAACTTAACAGAAGAGTTGGAGTAGCTTGTAAAATTGAAACTTTATTCTTCACCATGATATTAAGCAAAATTCTTGGCATTTTCAAAAGATGAGGGGATACCATAACTAGCACTGCTCCAGCTGTGAATGCCATGAACATGTCTACAACACTTGGGTCAAATGTGAGAGGAGCAGCACAAAAGATACAGTCGTCCTGCTCTACTCCAAATAAGGAGGCTAAATCTATGATATTTGGCACTATACAACGATGGGGCACAAACACATACTTTGGAACACCAGTTGATCCTGAAGTTGGGATCACATATGCCAGGTCGTTCATGCCATTTCTTTGAGATATTGATTGGTTTTCACTATCGAGAGAAATTATTTTAAAGCAAGTTTCAAATAAACAAAAGCAGTCTTTAACAACAAAGGGGATTTCTGCAATATTTTCCAAGTATTTTTCTTCCACCAATATTCTCTTAGGACACACTCGACCAAGTATTGATGCAAGTTCTTGCTTAGTATATTCTGGAGAAATATATATATAGGCATTTTGACTCACTATCCCAAGTATACAAGCAACTGCTCCTGGTCCTTGGGAACACAAAATTCCAATAACAGTTTTCTGTTCATAATTATTATTGGAGCCTAGGTCCTCACTGACATATGATTGCCTGCCATTAAGGCTATACAAGTTTCCAACTGAAATTTCATCATTAAACTCATTTTTGTTCTCACTAGAAAATGAGTGCTTATCATGAACACTTTTAGTTTGAGTATTTTGTTTCAATACCACATGTTTATGCTTTTCATACGGCTGCTCTTTTGACAAACCTGCACGTATAAACAAATCCTTATCTTCATTATCTCTAGTACTTTCAGACAGAATCCTAGCTACTTTAACAGCTTCTGTTTGTAATTCACTATATGTAACCTTCTTTTCTTGGCATTCATCTGTAAAAGAAAGAAAAAAAATTATAAGATCACTCAGAGCACAGACTACTTAGGTTAAAATCCTATTTAAAATTACAGCCATATAGGAGCCTTTTTTTTTTTTTTTTTAACAGTGTTTTCACATGACATCAACCCACAAGTCAGCCATATAGAGGAGCCTTTTTTTTTTTTTTTAATAAACGTGGGTCTTTCCCAGGTGTCAAGACTACAGCCCTTATTTAACCATATTTTCATGTTATACAGTAAGATTGGCGGTAATGGTTCAGATGAAGACCAGAAGGTTGAGGGCAGGCCACCCCGTGATTAGAAGATAACTCGGCCCAAATTCCTACATTACCCAGTGGTCAAGAGCAAGCCTGATCAGCCTAAAATTATATTTGCTTAGAGCCTTTGATGTCTAAAACAATAACCTAGAATATGGGAGAGAGGAGGGTCCCACCTCTCTCCTGCTATAATAGAAAATCCAGTACAGTATTGTATTTGGATCACTCCCAAAACACACCCAGAAATCCTTACTAGAGTAGTCTACTCATCACACAAAGACTAACTTTGTCTTCTGAAATCCATAAGTATCAAGCCTGGAGCCTGTCACATTTAAGTCTGTCCTGAATTAAGCTCTAGATAAAAAAAACCAGCGTTGAATGTAATGAAACGCCATTTTCTGGGCGAGTCCCGGAGGCTCCCCGAAGCGTACTAGACTGATATGCTGTGTCAGACTTTGGCATCAGTCATGTGTATGGAGTTCTTATGGGCCTACCGGGGACCACGAGCCAGAACCTGGCCCCCTCAGAGAGGCAAGGGGAGCAATGGCCTATAGAACCCCCGTGTGATTGGAAGCATTCTATGTCTGCCATCGACCGGGTTAGGCACCCAGAAAGGTAGGCGTCCCAAAACAAACCCCTATTCTGATGAAAATTGCAACCAAAGACCGAACGAATGGATAGAACTCCCCAAACAAAAACGAGCAAACTAGTATGACGTCACCTGTCATAATGCCGCTGTCTGCGCAGCTCCCCCGTCCCCGGGAGGGGGAAGGGCTAGCCTCAGACCCACCACACCGGCGACCCACACCTCAGTTCTGAGGCTGGATGTCAAAACACGAGAAAAAAACGCCGACCGGAGGGAGGGAGGGATGCCGGGGAGCCTCTGGGACTCACCCACAAAATGGCGTTTCATTACATTTAACGCTGGTTTTCTGGGGGGAGCCCCTACAGCTCCCTGGAGCTAACTACCCACAGGGGAAAGAGAATAGGAACTTACCCGGGAGGCGGTTGCCGCTCACTCCTCAACGCGAAGTCGAAACAACTGGCTGCATCTGCCGACCCAAAGCGACACAAGCCCGACTGGGCCCAGAAACGTTTACAAGGTAACGAGCAGCCAGGACTCTGTTCGACCGCCAAAATCCCCGCACCCGAATGTCAGCTCAGGACATATTTCCAAAGACGGCGGCAAGAGCCAGGAACTTGCGGACGTCATGGGCACGGGGATAGACCGCAGGCTGGCTAGCCTTAATTAACCTGTGGACGTCCTGGGAGGCCCCACACCCTCGAACAGGAAAGAAGGGAAACAATCAACCCAAAGCGCGTCCACGGATACAGAAGCCGTGGCGTGCAAATAATGGCGGAAGAGCCGCAACCAGACACAAAACATGATGCACCCCGGCCTAACCAACCAAGCATCAACAACCCAGGGACCCCTCCGGAAAGCAGCAGTCTCATTCTTCGCCAGAAAAGAAGGAGAAGGCTGCAGACGAACAAAACGATCACCCCGATCGAAAGAGCAGAAACCTCTGCGCCGGAGGAGAGCATGAAGCTCGCCAACCCGACCCCCAGAGGCCAATGCCAACAGGAAAAGAGCCTTCAAAAAACAATCCGGAACCAAAGGAGCCACAACAAACCGAGGAGAAGAAAGAAAAGAGAGCACCCTGTCCAATGACCAGGACGGCTCAGGTGGAGCATGAGCAGGCCAGAGGTGAAACAACGCCCGACATAGCTTGCAAAACGACGCAGACTGACATCAATACCGAAAGCAAACTTCAGCGGCTCCACCAGCGCTGCATGATACGAGGCGACAGTGTTAGGCATAAGGAGACGGTCCTGGAACAACCAAGAGAGAAAGGACACCACCACCCTAACAGAAAGCGAAGCACAATGACGAAGACGTAAGAAGAACCGGAAGGACCGCCAGGAAACTTCATACTGCCACCGAGATGAAGCCCACAGGTGGGACACTAATAAGGAAGCCACCTGACCACCATAGAGATGATGATAAACTTGAGACAAAAGTACCATACGCGAAGACTCGAGAAGATCGAACCAGCCACGTGACGGACCGGACCGATCTGCTGGAAGAGGCGGAGCCGCTGAAAAACCTCTGAGTTCGGACATTGAGCAAGCAGCGCCTGAAACCACAGCTGGACCAGCCACCAAGGGGCCAAGAGGACAACTCTTCCCTGGTAAGTCTCTAAGTGAGTCAGGACCTGGAGCAACCGCTGAACCAGGGAAAAGAGGTACAGGAACCCCCACCTTGACCAGTCCTGCCGAAAGGAGTCAACCCCGACGGCCTCGCTGTCGGGAAAGGATGCCACATACAAGGGAAGGTGCCACGACCACACCGACTCGTAGAGGTCCACCTTGGGGCGTCCGAACGTCTGACAAAGCCAACGGAAGGAGTTGGCATCAACCGTTCATTCCGTGGAGAGGGAAACGAAACGAGACAGGCCGTCGGCCAAGACGTTGGACACACCCCGTACGTGAACCGCCAGGAGAGCCAAACCTCGAGAACTCAGCAGACGAGTCACCCAAAGCGACCAGCACCAAAGAGCCAAGGACCACATCGAACCCCCCCTCCCCCTGATTCAGACAATGAACCACTGGGGAGCAGTCCCAATGGAGCCGGATCATCGACCCGCGGGTGACTCAAAGCCTCCGAAGAGCAAACCACACCGCCGTGAACTCCCGCACAGCGCTGTGGGCTCGACGGAAGGACGGACCCGCACCGTCCCTGGCCGGCCTGATGAGCACTGGGCACAAAGCCCCAGCCGAGAGACGACGCATCCGTGAACACATCAAGCGAGATCTCGGGTAGGAGCCGAGGCACTGAACTCCGAAAAACCCGAAGAGGAAGCCGGCGATGCAGCAACCGACACAAATCCCCCGGGGTCCAAACCCAGCGATCGCGAGAGAGGCGAAAGGGACATCCTCGAATGAACCAGAACAGCTGACGAAGCCAAACCCGACCCAGTGGGTAGACCAGTATCGTGAAGTTCATCGTGCGTGAGGCGTGTGAAAATGCGAGGTGCCAGGTTCAAATCGAACGGGAGACAACAAAAGTGGTAAGCACGAAGCCCCACAACAAAACCGAGCCAGTCCCTGAACCCCGGATGAATCAGGACGTGCCAATAAGCGTCCCGGAGGTCCAGGGACACCATCCAAGGACCCAGCTCCAACAGACGGCGAATCTGAGACAGCGTAGTCATCCGAAAGGAGGGGCAATGAACCCAGGGGTTAAGACAGGACAAGTCCAGAATGAACCGCAGGTCCGCACAGTCACGTTTAGGGACTGAAAACAGACGGGAAACCCATCTGAGGGACGGAGTCGTTTCGACCACGCCCAAGCGAACCCACTCCAGAACGACCTGACAGAGCGCAGGGGAAGAAGCCTGCCCCGCCAGCTCCGAACACCCCGCAGGAGGAGGGGCTACCTAATGCCACCGGAGGCCATGCGAAACGACCCAAAACGCCCACAAATCGTGGGACCAGGCGTGAGCGAACAGCGCAAGCCTCCCCCCCCCCATCACCCTGTCAATGGGGCAAACCGTGAAAGGGCCGGCGCCCCTTACAAGACCCAGAACCTCGCACAGAGCGAACACCACACCGACCAGACGGAGGCAGATCTGAAGGAGAAACCGAACCCGAACCAGACACCAGTGGCCTACCGTGACGAGAGGAACCCCAAGCCTTGGCACGACTTTTTCGGGAAGGTCCACCACGGGTTCCCCGGAGAACCAGCAAGTCCGACATAGGACGACAAGAAGCCGAAGCAGCCTGAACATACTGCACAACGGCGGAAGCCTCAAACAAAAGTCGGAAGACAGCTCCAGGAGGGAAAAGAAGCGCAAGGCCGCAACCAAAAGGCCCCGAGCGCGCAAGTCCTCCGCCACCTGTGCCGCCGAAAGGAGGGGGATCTGTACACGAAGCTGAACGACACCAACATCCCGGGAAAGGGCAGGAGCAAACAAGCACTCATTAAGGTGCTCAAGGTCGCCCCCCAGGAAAACCTGAAGCACCGTCGAAGCCTCCTGCCACTCAAGCGTGCAGGAATAGCAGAAGGAGCGCCAGGCCTCCAAGGCAAAGACAGGACAGTCCGCCAGCCAGGCGACTTCGGAACCTCGTAACGGAGCCAGAAAGGGAACGAAATCCCAAACCTGAAAGCTGAGAGATCCATTGCCGAGGCATAATCCGGGTCACGCAATAGGTTTGCGGCAAGGGCCACCTGCACCTCAGCAGGTTGGATGCGATAAGCCGAAAACCTCCGGAAAAACGGAACCGAAGCACCCGGGGAACACGGAACAAAATCAGGGGAAGGACAGATACAAAGTCCAACTCGTACGCAGAGGGGGGAAAAGAAAACCCCACTCCTTGTAACAGTAAGCCCCGCTCAGAAGGCAGAAAAACCAAGGCGGGGTCTAGCGGAGCCCAAGGCCCCCAAGCCAGCCCCTCCGCAGGACCCGGGGCCGAGTCCTTCCCCCCCAAGCACCGACCCTACCAGACAAGGTCGGCACAGCCGTAGAAGCCGGATAGAATGAGGCCCACTGGTCAGACCCAGAGGCTTAAGCCGGGGGAGGAGACTCGAATGCCTCCGTTGCCACACCGGAAGGGGCATCCCCCGAGGCTGCCCGAGTCTCAAGACCAACTAACCCCCAGCTCCGGCTCCGAAACCCTCAAGACGTTTCGGGGCCGGAAGCAGGGGAGGGGGGACCAGAACGAACAACAGAAGGG